GATGCATGGCTTGAGGGATGGATGGATGAATGGTTGGAAGGAGGGAGGGAGGGATGGTTGGAAGGAGGGAAGGATGGATGGATGGTAGGAGGGAAGGATGGAGGAGGGAGGATGCATGGATGGATGGTGGGGAGGGATGCATGGATGGATGGTTGGAAGGAGGGAAGGATGGATGTTGGAAGGAGGGAAGGATGGAGGGAAGGAGGTATGCATGGCTGGAAAGAGGGAGGGATGGTTGAATGCATTTATCTACACTGATCTCAGCTGATAGTGTTATCACAGAGACACCAAGCCATAGTTTCATACACAGAATACTAGCTCCAGTGTCAACCAGTCCTGGTTTTATTCCCAGCCATGTGCCAGGCAAAGCAACAACAAATACCATATTTTGACATGATGCACCTGGAGATAGAACAACTGACATTCCCACATGTCCACCAACCACAGCTATCTCAAGCCACTAATGATCTTTCAGTTCTGAAAGAGATGTGTGCTCCTAAGATTCGCAATACAGTTAACACCATATATTATGAAGACACTTATGATGAACTGATGGATGTACCAAACTAATTTTCTTGTTCCTATCCACTTGCATATCTTAATCAAAATGCATATAATGAACTACGGTTATTATTATTATAGGATTATTATACGATATTTATAGAGAGTGCACATATCCACACAACTAGTACATGCTGTGTTTTTATCCTCGATCATTGGATGTCATCTCAGCTCCCTGGGGAACATACAACTCTTGCAGCCACTAGGCACCCCAAGCTATTGCGGCCTTCCCATCCTTTCCCTTCCCGAGGTACCCATTCACAGCTGGGTGGACTGGGACACATAGTCACAGTACTTTGTCCAAGTTTACTGCACGTTGCTGTACCCACAACAAGGTGTCTGCACCAACAGATTCGTGGGTTCTTTTAAATGCACAGTGTTGTGTACTGTACACATGGGGCTTTGAGGAACTAAAATTTGTGGTCCCATTGAGTGTATTGCAACTATCATTTACAGTATGCTGATGTTTCCCAAATATCAAATGGAACCACCCGTGAAGGTCCGGGTTAGAATATTGATCTTCAGTAACCCACCCATGCTTGTCGTAAGAGGTGACTAATGGGATCGGGTAGTCAGGCTCGCTGACTTGGTTGACACATTCATCAGTTCCCAATTGTGCAGATCAATGCTCATGCAGTTGATCACTGGATTGTCTGGTACAGACTCGATTATTTACAGACTGCCGCCATATAGCTGGAATATTGCTGAGTGCCGCGTAAAAGTAAACTCATTCTTAAGTATATCGGATTAAGTCTTTTGAGAAACACTTTTATGTTACATTAGGATTCTGCAGTTTAAGTCATAAAAAATGATTTTCTTTGAACAACACACTGAGAGGTAATTCTAATGCTTCTGGACAATTCCAGACAATCAGCTATCTATTTAAAGCAGGCTTCCAAGAAACAGGGCTATTTATTTGTATTTTCAACTTTGCAAATTATATCATTTTTTTATGGCAACTCTTAATCAGTTACAAGATGAAATTCAAGATGCTGCCATTGATATTTAATACTGGTCAATAATTGCTCGTCATTTTGAAAGCGGTCGTTATTTTTAATTTGGATTTGGATAAGAAGATTATTTTTTGTTCCAAATAGTTTTCTGTGATGATTCAAGATTGGGCATAAAGAGCTCACATTTCCTCAGCGTCTTTAATTAATTAGTTCATCACAGAAAGAAAGTTCTATTTGTAAAGGTTATGAGTCTGAGCAAAATCTTGCAAAGGAAGAAATTGCTGTATTTTTAAGGAAAGATTCTGGGTATTTTAAACAACTGTTTACATCTTTGTTTAAACTTTTGGTTTGTGTTATTTAATCAAATCTACCTTGGTGCAGATTGCAGAGTTACCTCCCTTAGATGTGCCAGGAGCTGGATCTTTATTCAATGGTTTGTCAGCACCTTTCCCCTAAGCAGTTTTAGCAGGATCAGCGTCCTGCCTTCTTTGTTTGGATTCCCCACATGGGCACAATGTGTGAAGCCCATTTCTGGTGTCCCCCGCCGTGATATTGCTGGAATATTGCTAAAAGCGGCGTAAAACCAAACTCACTCACTCACTCTTTGTTTGGCGCTCTACCCTTCTTTTAAGACAATAATTCATATTAGCACTTGGTGGTTTTTAGTTTCTATTTCATGTTGAAGTTAAGTGAAATAACTGTGCTCTTTAAGTCTTTAGAATAATATGCATGAATAACTTAAGATAATACTTGGAAATCTGTCGCCCTGCCCTTTTTGGATCCTGGGGGACGAACACTGACTGAAAAAGGTATAATTCCCATCCAAAATGAACTGTCTGAAATACAATCAAATTCATGTTCAACCAAGCCCATTCACTAAAATCTAATCAAAGTATTTTGGTAAATAACGCTATGTTTCATCTGAATGATATATTATTTTTATATTTTTCTTTATTAATGTTGATGACTTGATGCATAATACCAGGGACTATCATTTTGTTACACAACAGGACACAGTCTGTATGGAATCAAACAGAATGTTCTTATTAGAAATTTCTTTCAAGCATTTTGTGAACATTTTATATCTTTACCACTGACAAAAAACAAAACCCCTTTGATCTGACAGAAGCTCCCATCAACAAACAAAGATTAATGATATTCTATGATACATTTTGATCAGTTAAAATATTTACATTCAAACATTCAAGTATAGATTAAGTCTTGGCTGGGATATCATGTTCTGTCTGACCTCTGTTGATGCCCTCAGTGTGTCCAATGCACAATGGCTTGGGATATACATGTTTCCTGAATACTCATTATGCTATTTAAGTGATGTGAATAAATAAGCTTCTGCATTTTAAAGTAATAATTAAAATAATTTCTGAACATATTGGAATATGAATGAGATGTAGATCTTTGAGTAAATTATGGCAATTCTACTGTCGGATTATGCTAATAATACCACTATTATGTAAATCTGTCAATTATGTTAATAGAAAAGTCTGTTGTATGTAACAGAACATAGATATATCTCGCTGCTATTAGCTGTGGAATATTTGACTGCTCTTGACAAAACAGCCAGTCCACGTTTTCTCTCTCAGAATTGGCGTATTGATTTTTCCAAGTTGCCTAGCAACCAGACCCATTATTTGCTTAGAAACTCCATCAATTTCACTGGGTATAGATTAGTATGCCTTCCACTACAATCGGCAGCTGATAGGAATTTCCACATCTAATTTGGTTTCCTGATCATAAAAATTTATGAAGATATTTGCATTGGAAATGAACCTCTGTACAGGCCACCATTGGTTGAGTGGAACAGGTTTTTCACTGGAGGTGGAATTTGACGGTAGTAATGGTGAATTGATTTAGGACTACATGTTTAGAATAATGTATTTCCTGGATAATAAATAAGGAAATGGACTGATAAATTATCCATTTTAATCAGGATTAGTTGTACAACTAAACAAAGTCTCTGCATTCAATGGTAGTTGGGCGAGGTAACCATTAGAAAGGTATTGTGCTGAATATTGGTCATGCATGCATTTGGAAGATCCCTCTCATCAGCATAATGGACTTGTATGCATTGTCAACTTGAATAGTTTCTACATTTATGTGTTTTATGTTTATTTCTGGAATAACACCAGAAAAACCCATAAAAGAATAAAATTATTTTTTTATTCCAAATAATTCATGCATTAATTTGTATGTTTTTGTGGACTTCATGTTTGAAACAAGTGAAACAGGAAAAGTTGACAAAGCTAATTCCGAAAATTAAGTTGACATTTTATTTAATTTTGTTTGAAAAGTGTCAGCTATTTGTGTGAGGTTTTGTATGGTGTAAAGCGATGGAGTGGAAGTGTGCTTGTTGCACTGCGAAGACACCCCAGGTCATATCGCTGTATTAGAATTCAGTTGCATGCGGTTCCATTATCAGAATCAATGCAGCATCCTCGAAGAGCCTCATTATGGAAGCAACGGATGGGGGAATATTGAGCTTCGTAAATTACATTGCATTACTCGCGGAGACCTCGCATCAATATCCTCGGTTAAATTAAGCTGCCCGTCTCCAAGGGAACATAGATTCGAAGCCTGCGCACGCCAAACATGACATTTTCAATAATTATGCTTCGAGTCCCAGCTAAATTCTCAATACATATCGTTAGTAATGGCATCTCATACGTCTTTGTCCAATGAGCAAAGATTGTGTGATTATCGAATGTTGGGACGATAGGAAAAACCCGACAGGTTCCATATGATCGCATGGGTTGGTCAAAATAATAGCACATTTATTGTAAGGAAGAGAAGGTTGTGAGCCATAATGGTGTTAATATCTTTTGAATTTTGATGAGGCAGATAATCGGAGAGACCATTAATAGCAATCATGATGGATACTCAGAGAAGAACATCTCCTAATCTATGTCAAGAATTTAAATGTAAAACTTGTTAAAATGGACATGTGTCATCTGTGTTTATTTAAATAAAATGCTTTGGGATTTTATCAAGTTTAACAGTGTTATAACAAAACGGTGATGGGGCTTTTGTAATGTCCAGGTTGTGCGATAATAAATTCGAGAAAGGGATTAGCTCAGCAATTCCACCGGTCCAGTTTGACCTCTAACACTGCGCCTGACACGGAAATCCATCCCCGCGCTGCTGCTGGTAGCGAATCGCGGAATCCTATTGCCTGCTACTTAACCTAGACAGAGCCTCTCTCTAGCAAGACACATAGTGATACATTGGATATTATTATGACAGGTAATGATCATATTATAATAACTAGGCTTTGTTCAATGAAATATTCACAGTGGTACCGACGAATTATTAATTAGCACTATGGGTAAGTGTGAAATTCCGACATTTTGCCCCAAAATAAAAACAAATTTGACACGATGACCAAAAGCATGAGAGTTCCATGAAGCCAGGAAGCCATCGCTGGTTCCTAGACGATTGATCGGGAGTTATCAAGTCGGCTATGTTTTGCAGGTCCTCCACTGGATTGAATGCTGTTCGTCTACTGACCATCATTTTGGCATCCCTGCACACACGACATGGACACTGACTCCAACGATGGGACTGTTACGGAAAGCCTCAATGGAGAAACAAAACCTGACCCGACAAAGCTTGCCCATTCGGCCATTATTAAGCAGGTAAGACAAGCTATTGTGGGGATGCTCCCTCGTCTTACTGTGGCTGATCGCACGACCACACATGTGTAGTTGCTCAGGTACGCATACATTTTATGCAGGTAATGATCTCTCATTAACAAATCTATGCTAATGATATGGAATGATCCTTGTGACTTCCTTCTCCCAACTGACGAAGAACTCGCAACTAATAATATTACAATATCTTTTCCTTCTTAATGGAGAGGGGAATTTTACTAGTTTTATGTACATGATCAGCTGCGTGTGGTAGTGGGTTGTGTATAAACAGGAGACATTGTTGAAGTTGGCGGACCTCCGTACAACCAGGTATGCTAGAACTATGGACATGATGTGTGTTCCTGGATATATATTGCATTATTTATCTTGCAGTTCATTCATTTATCTAATATTTTGCATTACAATTTTGACCAGTGGATTTAGGGTATTTTGTGTGGTGGGTGAATTTACATAAATTTAAGGGTGTCATTGAGAATATTTGTTGGAAATGTGCTGGAGATGTATCAGTGAATACTTGCTCATATTTTCATCATTATTGAATGATTTTAAATTCAATTATGATGTTACATAATGTAGTAGCCAGCTTCCTATGGATATATTTAGATGCTGTTGATGTAGACCATTTCAGAATCATATGTTTAGATGATTTATGTTGAAATTGTTTGCTATTGATTTTAAATCAGGAAGTTAAGATGGATATTGACGCTATCTGCTGTTGTGACATTTTAGAATTGTGGAGATTTGTTTAATAGCTAATCAAGTGATGAAATGTTGAAATATTTTTGATTTTGTCAGAATTGTAGTTGTGTGTTTATTGTTTATGAATCATATATATTTTTAATTCATATGCAGTATAATTATGTTTTAATTAACTTGTGTTTCATTAAATAGCATGAACAGAAACTATTATTTTGTAGGCTTGTCCTTTTGGTGATATGATATTTATTGTGTTTTGGTATGGTGATATATTTTAGGTACTACTACTAATTTTTGTGGATAATAACATTGTTTTTGTTAATTATTTTTCTATAATTGATAACGGTATATATTACAGTGATGACTTAATTACAGTTAGAATGTAAATAACCAACTATGTTTTTCTTAACTTTGTCCTACACTCAATTTAGGAAAGAAAAGTTTGTATTTTGTGTTGATAGTGAAGAACTTATGGCAATTATAAAACAGCTTTTTCAGAAAACATTTATTCTGATGTTGATATGCTATTTAGAACAGATATTGCTTTGTTGAACTTTTCTTGAAAACGTAGACACATGTGAGATAATTCTTGATGAAACAGTTGCTTGTTTGGAGTGATGTGACATAATACACTGCTGAGCCGTGATAACCATAGTTGGCCCCGACATGTTTATATACAGTATTTCTGTGTATCAAAACAAACTGCTTGTTCAGTCATGTGACACGAGCAGTAATAAATTGTGAATGTTATCCCGATGTTTGAATGGGCTCTTATACTAGGTCACTGGGTCTATATTCTCAGCCATAAATAAAATCAAGTACGTATACAAGGATTGGTGAAGATTATGTTTAGCCAAGCTGTTCAAAATATACTTAGTAAATGCACATGTGTCAGGCGTTAAAGCATGTTTTATGATCTTGCTTTACAAGATTCATTTGACCTGGTCAAGTGATAAAATGGATGCAAATTATTAATTTGTTTTCAAATCTTATCTGATTTGACAGAATTCTTATTTGTCAAATTAAATGATAAACAAAACTTTTTTGAAACAAATAATGCTTGAAATAAAGAAGAGTGAGTGAGTGAGTTTAGTTTAACGCCGCTTTTAGCAATATTCCAGCAATAATACGGCGGGGGACACCAGAAATGGGCTTCACACATTGTACCCATGTGGGGAATCGAACCCGGGTCTTTGGCGTGACGAGCAAACGCTGTAACCACTAGGCAACCCCACCACCCCCGAAATAAGGAAGAACCACAGAGAGAGATATAAGAAAAGGGGCAAATATGCAACTGAATATAACTAAATATAATTGAAGTACTTCTAAAATTAGTGTTAAAACCATATTAATAATTTGAAACTAAATACGTCATTATTGATTATTAGGGTCTATATAATTGCTCAGAACGACTTGAAAGAGCAGCATGAGTTCTAATGCAGCATAATTTTGTGAGTTTTCATTAATTAATGTTAGAATATCATAAATATTTGCTTTAATAACATTAACATGCAGATGAAATTTTGATATCTGTTATTGAATATTGTTAGAGTTTTAACAAACAGGACACCAAGATAGTTTTCAATATTTGTATATTATTAACATTGATTCGCAGTCCATCCATCCATTCATCCATAAATATTGACAAAAGGATATCAAGATGGTTTTCACTATTTGTATTTTATTAACATTGATGGTCATATCATCCATCCATCCATCCGTGTTCAGTTTTCTGTTTTCCAAGCAGACCTCCTTAATCCTTAAATATTTCTTGTTGAAACTTGATTCACAGATCAGTCTAGTGTTGATAATTTGGGATCTTGAAAAATACCGAATTGCGTTACTTCTTGTCATGGAACCGGGAGGTATCCCATGGCAATAAAACAAAAGTTGGATCTATGTAGCTGATGTCCATTTGAGATAAGCATCAGACCAGGAACTTTGTCATCCTCAGACAAGATGTATTAGAAAAACATGTAAAGTGGTAGAGTGTTTTGTAGTGAACAATTTATGATAAATTTTTCATGGCAATTGTTGTTATTATTTTCAAACAAACTATTAAAGGTGTCTGTGTACATTAAACTTTGGTGGGTGTGATTCACCTAAAGCATGAGTGTGAATTGAGGCCTACCGTATTCTCCATGTTATATGTCCAACACCAATAACCACCAACTTCTATACCAGTTATAAATAACCTTTATAAGTGCTCATATTGAGTTTGAAACTTGACATGACAGTCTGTGTTTTCTTGTGTGCATTACAGATTATTTACAGAAAAAAGAAATCAGAGGTTTATACTTTCCTAGTAGGGGCTGATGGGTAGCCTAGTGGTTCATGTGTTTGATGAAGCCCCGGGTTCGATTCCCACACGGGTACAATGTGTGAAGTCCATTTCTGGTGTCCTCTCCACAGATATTGCTGGAACATTGCTGAAAGTGGCGTAAAACTAAACTCACTCAGTTGCCTAGTAACAGTCAGTATTGTTTTTGCTTCTCTGATGTTTTGAACCAGTTTTATTCTCTACTGCTGGACGTCAAGACAGCAAATTATATTTTTGGTTAATATAATAATAGGTGCCATTGTTTAATTTTGTAGGTGCATATTACAGTAAATGTGGTATATGTGGGGAGTTTCAGCAAGGAAAGAAAGGACACAGAGATGAATAAATAGTGTGGTTGAGTTTTTTGTTGTGATCATTTTGATATTAATTTGTCACAGCCTATGTGAATATTTTGCTAGTATACACAAATGTAATATGGAGGTGTTTTATTGAATGTGGGTGACTCATTTTCATCCTTCGCTAATTCCTTTTAAACCAGTTGTGTATGAGTGTACATGATTACGAAACATTATTAAGTATGAAATCAAGTAATATTGTGTCGTGTTTACAAGCTTATTTCAATGAGGTCAGATGTGTGAATGAACTTGTCCTCTTGTACATCATGCGTCCAAGGGTGGTAGGCTAATGGTTAAAGTGTTCAATTGTCATACTGCAGGGGATGGGGTGGGGAAGGGGGGGGGGAGGGGGTGGTGGAGGGGTGGAGTGGGGGTGGGGTGTGGTGGTTGGTTGTTTGGGTGTGGAAAGGGTGGAGAGGGATGGGATGGGGTGTGGTGGTTGGTTGTTGGGTGGGAAAAGGGTGGAGTGGGATGGGATGGGGTGTGGTGGTTGGTTGTTTGGGTGGGGAAAGGGTGGAGTGGGGTGGGGTGAGGTTGGGGTTAGTTGGATTCTGGTCGAGGGATTGTAGAACAATAATAACCAAATCCATATTTACATCCTTTTTGAGTTTCTGAATAATTGGACTGAATACGTAATTAGCCGCGATGATATTTCCTATGTTTGTCACCACCAGGTGGTGATGTTACTGACGTGGTAAACATTGAACACCTGTACCACACTTGGTTCTCGCTGCATCTCCAGCTGACATAGCGTGGCTGAAATAATGTTTAGAGCAACATAAACCCGAACACTATGGCTCAGTATCTCACTGCTGATGCCGGGGTGTTGGGTAGCCTAGTGGTTAAAGTGTTGGCACGTCACGATTCTCAACATGGGTACAATGTGTGAAGCCCATTTCTGGTGTCCCCACTGTGATATTGCTGGAATATTGCTAAAAGCGGGGTAAAAAACATACTCACTCACACACTTTTCAAACCAAGGAAACTTTTTGTTTTTGTTACACATTTTTTCATCCATGTTACAAGAGACAGGACATAAGATGATATTATTTTATGGGATTATTTGCTTAAAACATGTTCCTTGAAAAACTATTAAAATTTTAGAAAGCAAAACTATTTAAGTGTTTGAAAGTATTATAAGAAATATCTGTTTAAAAGTAAAACTTTTGACATACAGTAAAATAAAGTGTAAGATTTATTTCTTACAAAATACACAATAGCAGTAAAACTTTTGTTTTGTGAAACTTTCAAGTATTTTGTACACTTACCTAAGGGTTAAACTTCTTAATATAAAAAAACCCAAGTAAATTGGTTTGGCCTAAAAAATATAAAACAGCCAAAAATGTCTGCAGTACCACCAATAAGTTAATTTTAATACATCCTTGAGCTGAAATTTGATTATGTTCTTCAAGCAAAAAATTGCAAAAAACCATTCAGGACTTACATACTCTTGAAAATTGTAATTTCTTTCCAAGATAAAATGATGTTGAAAAACATCCTCCTAACAAACTTCTCTTGTGACGAAGACAAAACCTCACAAACCCAAAACAACAGATGACTTTTTTTTTGAGACCTCCTGGCAGCAAGATGAATTATGCAAGTGTGAGCAATCT